TTTCCACTAAAAACTGGAACAAGGCAAGACTGCCCACTTTCTCCACTCCTTTTTAACATAGTACTGGAAATTCTAGTCAATACAATTAGACAAGAATAGTCAAATAAAACGCATCCAAATAGAAAAAGAAGAAGTGAAAACATCTCTATTTAAAGATATGATTGTATACATAGAATATCCTAAAGAATCTTGAAAAGAAAACTCCTAGAAGCGATAAATGAATGTAGTGAAGTGGCAGGATACAAAATCAACATACAAAAACTATAGCATTTTAGGGAACCAGCAGTTAGCTTAATGGCTATGTTGCTGGACTCACACGTAGTAGATCGTAGTCGACCGTGGTTCACATCCCGGACCCGGTGGCTTAGAACTCATGCCGGGCGCGTGTGCGTGCATGCCCAAAATCCTGAGAGGAGAATGATGGAGAATCACCCCGAGGGGTGATTTCTCACTTTCTGTCTCTCTGTCTCTCTCTGTCTGTCTGGCGAGTGCATGTGCCCTATAGCGAAAACCTCTCAAGAAAAAAAAAAAAAAACTATAGCATTTTATATATAAGCAATGGACAAACTGAGAAAGAATTGAAAAAAAAAATCCCATTAACAATAAGCACAAAACCAATATGATATCTAGGAATAAACCTTACAAAAGACATCAAAGAACTCTACAAAGAAAGCTATGAAACTCTAGAAAAAGAAATTTAAAATGATACAAAAAAGTAGGAACACATCTCATGCTCCTGGATTTGAAGAATTAATATAATCCAGATATCAGTCCAATTCAAATTAATCTACAAATTTAATTCAATCTCAACAAGCTACCAAAGATATTTCTCACAGAAATAGAAAAAAAATCATAAAATTTGTCTGGAAGCATACAAGGCCCCATATAGCAAAGCAGTACTGTGCAAGGGGAATAAAGTAGGGGGCTTCTCACTTCCTTACTTCAAAACATATTACAAAGCTGTGATAAATAAAACAGTACGGTATTGGCACAAAAACAGACAGACCAAGGGAACAGAATTGAGAACCCCAAAATAAACCCAAAAACATACAACCAACTAATCCTTGACAAAGGACACAAGACAATCCAGTGGAAAAAAGAAAATCTCTTCAGCAAATGGTACTAGGAGAACTGGATATCCACCTGCAGAAGAATGAAACTAGATCTTTATCTTTCACCACCAACAAAAGCTAACTCAAAATGGACTGAGGTTCTAAACATAAAACCTCAAACCATAAAATACTGGTGGAAAACACAGGAAAAACTCTTGGAAACCTTGGAGTAGGCAAGGACTTCTTAAAGAAGACCTCCAAAGCAAAGGCAATAGTCCCCAAAGTAGACAAATGGGATTCTATTAGACTGAGAGACTGCTGCACAGCAAAAGAAACAATAAGTAGAGTGAGAAGATGATCCTCAGAATGGGAGAATATATTTGCAAATTTTACCTCAGATAGGGGACTGATAACTAGAATATACAGGGAACTCAAACAGCTTACCCACAGTCAATCCAATTAAAATATGGGAAAAGGAGCTGAACAGACAATTCTCTGAAGAAGACATACAAATGGCCACAAAGCATATGAAAGCATGCTCCACATCTCTTATCATAAGGGAAATGCAAATCAAAACCACAATGAGATACCACTTAACCCCAGTCAGAATGACTAAAATTTAAAAAATAAATAAGTGTTGGTGAGGCTGTGGTGAAAAGGGAAGTCTCCTACACTGTTGGTGGGAATGTAAATGAGCACAGCAACTTTGGAGAACAATCTGGAGATTCTTCAGAAACCTATAAATAGAACTACCATAGGACCCAGTAATTCCACTCTTAAGTATTTACCCAAAGGATAGAAAAGCCCTCAGATGGAAAAAAAAATCGCATATCCATATTTATTGTAGCATTCTTCACAATTGCTAGGACATGGAATGAACCCAGATGTCCAAAAATAGATGATAGGATTGAAAAAATGTGGCATATGTACTCTATGGACTACTACTCAGCCATTAAAAAAAAAATGAAACCCTGAAATTTTATACAATGTGGAACAATAAGGAAGACTTAATGATAAGGGAAGTAAGTCAGACTATGAAGGAAAGACTTTGTATGTCCCTACTCAGTATATACTGATTGTCTATGCTCTATAGCAGAAACTGAAAGTTTGGAAGATATAGTAAGTAGCAGGGATGTCAACCATAGATACTAGAGATAGTAAGAATAGGGGTAATACGGGGGTGAGTAATGGAGGGAGGGAATACGAAGGGGAAGAAAAAGAAGTACTTTTTTAAAAAAGAATTATTTTATTTAACTTTATTTATTTATTTACTTATTTTAATTTGACCAGAGGAGGAGAGAGAGAGAGAGAGAGAAAGTGAGAAAGCAAG